TAAATTTGCAGCTTCCCCCTGAAAACTGTCAATAGTAGTGGGCATTTCAGATGTGATTTATATTACAGTACTCATTTAAAAATTCATTTTGACTCCTCCTATTTCCTTTTTGTTCATCAAACTCACCACATCCTAGTTGTTCCCACCCTCCAATCAATAAACAATGATTCCATCTATCTTACTGCTTGATTATAAAAAATACTTATCTGAGTGTGTATCACTGCTTCCAGGTATTCATATACTGTATATCTTTAGTATCACCAACTCCATACAAAGAGGAAGTAGAATCAAATATCCAGCAACACTTCCAGAAGGACCTTAAAACCAGATACATTCTCTGACATCACACTATCAAGTATTGCTTACTTAGTATGAAGTCATTTGAATAGATGCACTTGCCTTGTGTATGCAATTTTCTTGAAATTTTACTGAACATTAGTTTTCTACATTTTGATAATACTGAACTGGGTTACATGTGCTATTAAATTGAGTTCATTGAAAGTCAAACTGTCTTCAATGTCCAATCTTAAAACTGCAGTGCAAAAACGTGTTTTTCTCCACACTTTTGGCAGCCAACCAAGCAATACTTTCTTCCTTCTCTCCCAGAAAAACCATTATGCTGACTGAACTGTAGCCAACATGTGCACTCATGACCAATCTTGCTTAAAACTTTATTCAGAGGAGAGAAAATTGCATTTTGTATTGCTATTGCTAAGGTTGTGTAAGGGCTTTCATTTTGAAGCTGCTACGTTATGTTTTATTTGTAGACCACCTTTCTCCCAATAAGGAGACTCATGGCAGCTATTTAGACATTTATACAGGACTCCTTGCAAATGCAATATGTTACATAAATCAGATGGAGTATCTCTCTCCCTGGGAAATGTTTAAAAAAAATATACAATTAAATTATACTTTAAAAAAAAAAAAATAGGAACACTGTCAGTCATTCCCTGTGCGACTTTCTGCTTCACAGGTGTTCAGTGGGAAGGAGGAGAATTCCCAAGTATTCACATCTTGGCACTGCCCTCTACCATTTTAACATGTGCTTACATCAAGAAAGTTGCACTTCAGTTCAAATGTATCTGTCTAGGAAGCACTCTATATCATGGCGGGGGCAAAGTGGAGAGGGTTTCCTCCTTCAAATTTCTAGGAGTGCACCTCAGCCAGGATCTCACCTGGAAAAGCAACACGCTCCAGGTGGTCAGGATGGCCCAACAGAGGCTCCATTTCCTAACAGTCTTGCGGGAAACAAGGTGGCACAGCGGCTCATGACATCTTTCTAGTGCTTTCACCCTGTCTTTCAGCAGAAATTACAGAAGGCTAACTTGGCTCATTACAAGCAATCAGCATTTGCCCATGTGGTAGGCTCTTCCTTCATGGACAAGATCAATCTAATTAAAGTAACAATTCTTTCCAATATAGCTTTTATCCTTCATTGTTTCTTCACATTCACCTCCTTTTACTAGAAATTAAAAGATGACTCAAAGATGGCGAATGAAAGATCAGTTTTGCTCATCAGATATGATTAAAGGCACCTTCTCCTGCCTCCACCATTGACAATGACATTACCTAAATGTCATGGTATGGTATGCTGGCTTAACAACCACAGACAAGAAGGCACTACAGCGGGCACAGAAAATCATGGGTTGCCCTATGACCCAACTGGAAGAAATTGCCAGTTCCTACTGTCTCAACAGTGAGTAAAATCCTTAGGGATGACTCTCACCCGGGACAGCACTTCTACCATCGGGCAAGAGATACAGAAGCATGACAAGTAACAATTATAAATTGGTAACATAAAGGTAACATCGTTTTTGCTCTAATTTTATTGTAATGAAGATATTGTTTTATTTTTGTTTAAAAATGAATTTAAGAGTAAAGCACTAGTAACAACCTACATTAACAGATAACAAGTTACTTTTAATGAATGTTACATTACAGTAACTTTTGAAAATAACATTCTAAGTTCTATATTTGGCATCTCACCTTCAATTGAGAATGACTTTCTTCACTGTCACTTCACCAAATGCAAATTCTTGGCTGATGACCATGTATGTAAAAATGCAAAACACTGTGACATCACATGCACTTCCTGTTGTGAACCAAACTGTTCTGTAAAATATTCACTAAAAGTTCTACATCCCCTATCTGAGATGAGATGGCAAGGCCTTTAAAGACTACCAGCTCATTTGTGGAATTGCCTTCCTATGAGAATTCATTCAGCTTCTATCCTGTTGTTTTTTAACTTCAGTTAAACACATTGTCAGGTTCATGGTTTCCACTGTTCTTTACTGTGGGCACTGTTTCTGTTGTTGTTTTAACCAGCAAAAGGCTTTGCTCTATTATATTTTACTGTTGTTTCTTTCTATAATTTTTGTATATGAATTATGTTTAGAAGACAGCAATATTTGTTTAAATAATTAGACATAAGAAGTCTGACATTTAATAATGTAGTTAAAGTAAACACATAGAGCACCCTCTCTTCCCTCAGTGACAATGTCCTCAAAATAGCTCCTTTTTTTCTGTTGCAAAAACAGTGCAACAATACAACTAATATATGATTTCAGGAAAAGGCAGTCAAATATCACCATCAGCACAAACATTTGCCGGCGTATAAGACGACTGGGCGTATAAGATGACCCCAACATTTCCACTCAAAATATAGTTTGTTATATACTCGCCGTATAAGACTACCTCCTCTTCTGCACACCTTCCACACACCAAATAAAAGGTGCTATTCATTGCGGCCGTTGTATGGCCGCAGCACGACCGCAGTGCCTCCGCCCCGCCCCTGCATCTCCCTGTGACCGGCACTCATGTGCAAGTGTGCACGTGTGAGCTCTGCGTAGAGAAGGGGCGGGCCAGAGCGCTGCTGCTTCCTGCTGAGCAGAACGGGCCGGTCATGTCGAAAAGCCTGGCACCTGTCTCGCTGCTGATGCTTGCCATGGCCGCACTGGATACCGCGCGATACTAGACGGTATGTAGAATGAGATGAGCAGGCATCGGGAGGCTACTATGGGCAGCTATATCTATCCCAACTGAAGTGCACCCGGCGTATAAGACGACCCCCCCACTTGGAAGCATGTTTTTCAGGGCAAAAAAGTAGTCATACACCAGCAAATACAGTAGATCTTACATGCAAAGCAGCAAACGTATCTCTTTAGTAAGTTCCCATGCAATGGAGGCATATGAGTATTTTACCACAAATACTAATGAGATTATACATCATAATGATTGTTTTGCTTTTTCTCATTTAGAAGCATCAGCAAGAGAATAGCAAACATATTTTTACAGTCGACATGATTCCATAGGAACTAGTGTGGAAGACCAAAGTAAAATGTTAACTCATTCACAGATACTTGAGAGAGTTTAAATATCAATGTTTCTACAGTATACAGGTCTCCCATCAATGCTACAACTCACAGTATGGTCTGCTATGCCTTGTTTATTTCATGAATGTTATATGGAAAGCAGGATCAATGACTAACAGCCTTACATCTCTTGATTATCTTCAAAATCCCCAAACAGACGAACTTGAGTTGAGATTGGAATTCTGCAATTACAAAGACCAGATAAAACGTGAGCATAGAGAACCAATACAATGATAACCACTTAACATAGAGTAAAAATAAAATGTTTGAAGCAGATTTTTTAAAAAACTGAGCAGGGTATGGATTAGTGTGTACATAACTCAGACCATTGGCAGTTGCCTCTGGTCTGAATGGACACCTTTTGGTGAGTATCCGAAAATGGAAGATGGGCTACATGGCTTTTTCAGCAACAGTGATCTAACTATACTAATTGAAAAAAGGAGTTTAATTTGCTATCCAAATATAAATATGTAAGCAACTTAAATATTTATGAGATGAATAATAATTGGTGTGGTTATCATCACTAAGTAAATTAAGCAGCCAAGCAAATGAGTAAAGCATATAGAATTGCACACAACCACTTATGGCTAGTCTTACCAATAGACAACCTGGGGCAACTATGAGGAGCCCAGCATCTGTTTAGGGCCTACTGGTGAAATCTGTTGTTGACCCCTTTAAAAAAAGACCAAATCTGATCTGGTAATTAGGACAGCATTTGTTAGCAGTGTTCTCACAATGCCCAAAGTGATACTGGGAATACGATTGGAATATATTGCAGCTTAACCTAGTTGCCCAGCACTGCAATCAGTTGTTCATTGACAGATAAGCCATCTAGGTCCTACCAATAGGCATTACCCAAGACCCCTCAAAGTTGGAGCTAACGTTTGATTCAACATGAACTTGATTGCTGCTATTTACGTGATATTATTCAATATAACGTGCTTGCAATGTAATGGAAACTGAACAAAGAAATAACTTATTTCCAAAACTATTCTTTACAGATCCCATCTTCAGGTATGTGCCCAAATCTCTTCAATAGAGAGAAGATAGGAATAGGGCACAGAACTGCAGCTGTACAATTCTAAATAATGTCATGGTTTAATATGGTCATTCAATCTGTTACCAGTGTCATTAATGATCCTTTCACCCATAAAGACAGAAAAAAATACAGAATTGAATATTCTAAAACATTTTTTAAATAATCTGGTTGTGAATTCAGCTAATCTCTTCAAGTCTGATGTAATAACAAAGAGAAGACAAATAAATGATAAAAACATCTGATTTGTAGGTATATGCAAGAGGCAAAACAGTGTGCTTAAATATGAATATAAAGGTAGCCTTCACCATACTGTTAAATGGGAAATAATTATAAGGACAGTCACTCCAGTGGTAGCCATAGCATTACTGAGAGTGATACCAACATCTCTTTTCTGCTTGTTAACACTTTTGAATCTGTTCTCATGACCACACTGAAGCAGTTATACAGTTCTGTATAACAATATTCAACTTATATCTGGAGGGGAGGAGCAAGAATTCCTTGTGTTGCACCATGTTTAGAAAACTGCATGTCTGAATATTCACTAAAGGAAAAATAACAGATAATCTTACAATGGAATCAGCCTTTATTTTTCAATTCTACATTAGCTGCCCATCAGTGCAAGAATCATGGTTCAAGTATAAAATGTCTAATAAATCTCTCTTTTTGAAAGATCAGTTTCTAATTAAAGTAAACATTGGATATGAATTACGTATCTAGTTATTGTTGGCATATAATTTGTTTATAACAGCAAGACTTTAATGTCTTTAAAGTACACGGTATTTTGTAAAGCCATCAGTTACTTGTTCTATAAGATGCTGTTGCCTATCTATCAGTGCACTTTCTTCCATAATTGCTTTCAAAGATTAAAACAAAACTTCTTAGCAGAACGTATAATGCAACTATAATAGTGCTATAACCAATGAACATTTATTGCTTCTTCATAACAGAAGGCATTTCACAAATCATTTAACAGAGATAACATCAGAAGGTTCTCATACATTGCATTCTGAAATTAGCTAACCAAGCAATTAAGATTCAAGCCAACAGAATTCTATTGATGTTAGCAAGACCAAAGAGGCTTAAATCCAAAAGTTCACTCATAGTATAGTTGGGGCTAAATTTTTTCTCTTCCTTTTCTATGACATTCCAATAAAGTTTTAAAGCAACAGCTATCTCAACAACAAGCACAGCACCACCAGGAGTTACACTTACAAGTATAGAACCTTAAGTACACAGAATATTGGGGAAAAGCTAAAAATAATTTTTATTGTTAAGACATGACTCAAAATACATTATATTCCATACAAAAATACATTATACATTAAAATATTGTTTACATTGTCCCAGGTGCTTTATTTTTCAAGCTAAAATTAAAAACCTAGAAAGTTGTTATAAATGCTTCTAAAAAAATTATCTTAATACAACATCTTAACTTACAACATCTGGTTTAATTAAATTTAAAAAACAGAAAAGTCTCCCAATACTATCTCCGAATTCTGCACAATGATTCAATACAAGGATTGTTCTTGGATTTAGGAAATGGCATTGAAGAAGGCTTATATGTGTGACTGGATATAGGTCTCTTATTGCTCTTCACTGAAACGTACTTCTCTTCCTTAGGAGGAATATGGATTGGTTTCCAAGGTATGGGGTTGTAGAAGGCTGGAATTGGATAGGCACTTCCATCTGGATATCCTGAAATGTTGAGAAAGGACACACAATTAAGAACTAGTACTAGTGCTCAATTTCTCTTCAAATGAAAGCAACCTTATTCTAGCACTAGGGATGGGCATGATATTTTTCTTTTTCTTTCATTCTGGGTTCTTTCATGGCATTCCTCTATTTTACATTGTTATCTAATGATCATTTTGTTTTACACAAACAAAAGCCTCCTTCAGGTTATTTATTTTCTGTTTTCTTGCAATCCATAAGCTCTAAATAACCCTTAAAAACAAATCCCAAAAATCAGATGCAAGGCAACAAGAACTGATCTACTTTGAAAGTAGGTGCATGAGAGAAAACAGCAATATGAGTTCAGTGATGCTCACCAGACTCTCTGGGGCTAGGCAACAATAGAAAAAAGGCAAGGAAACAGCGAGCCACTGGCTGCCTGGCATACAGAAACATCCACTCACCAACACAACCAACAAAAATGCAAGAAGAACACGAAAGAAATGCCCCATGCTGTATCCAACCAACAAAACAAACAAACCAGTGGTACACTGGCACAGCCACAAAACGAATCCACATGTCTCACATACCCTCACAGAAGAAAATAAAACAGTCCCAATTGCCCCACCAAAATATACGCCTTTAATGAAATATACAATAAATTAATGAAACAAGCTACAAGCTTCTAAAAATTTAAACAAGAAAAGCGCCTCAGTCACACACACTCACTCACTCACTCTCACACAGAGAACAGCAAAATAAGACTAAGACACACACACACACACACGCACGCACGCACACACATGCAGAGACTTTCTTTCAAAACCGAAAAAGGAAGAAAAAAAAAGAGGAAAAACACACAATCACCCCCCTTACTAGAATATATGGAAATTTCTCTCCTCCCCATCTTCACTTCTTTGCATTCAGCAGGCAGGAATAGGAATGCAAGGTCCAGGCAGCAGTAAATTTAATCCTAGAAAGGAATCGCTGGGAGATCCACATGCGTCCCCTGGCCTCTCCATCCATCCATCAAGGACAGGAGTGCCCTCCAGGGAGTCCAGCATGGACTACCTGGCCGCCAAGTGCCTCGTGTTCATCAGCACCAGGGCCCTGATCCACCCAATCTCTAAGGATGGAGGAGGAGGAGGAAACACATGAGTTTCATCTCTCAATACCTTAAATTTATCAGCCTAAATCCAGTGAGGGACAGCTGGTGACAGACCTGCCTCTATCAGCAGAACTGAGAGGAAATTATCTCCTCTCCCACTGGAGACCTACATGCATCCCGAAATCCTGCCCTAAAAGGCTAAGAAACCACCTGGAACTAGTGACCAAAGATGCTGAAAGCTGCAGGAGGAGGAGAAGAAAGATAGTTCTGTTGCCCAGCACTACAACACCTATGAGACAATGGATTTAAGCCATGTACGTCACACTGTAACACAAAATGAAGCAATAAAACAGAATGCATTGTTTTGAGGTAAAGATACAGGAACCTGAAGCAATTACAGAAGTCTTGTTGTTCACTGATCTCTTATTTATAGCATAATGCTCATTATAGCGTCATGTTGCCTCTACGTGTATCCAGTATGATAGGACAAAAGGCTAATTCACAAACTAAGTGCTAAAGCTGTTTGGTACACTATAGCCACATTTACAATGATATCTTTGATTCCATGTAAACATTTTGGAATAAATCAAAGTTCAAATTTGGCAAATCATGTTTACATGGCATTTCAACACATTATCTGGGCTTTGTAGTCACAGCTATGTAAACTCCCTAATTCTGTTACACAAAAGTATTACATCGGCTGCTTTATCCATAACATTGAACCAATAATCTAATAACATACTCTTGTCTTTGGAAATCAGTTTATAATTTTATCTGAGCAGAGAATATTTAAGACTAATCTATTATTTTAGTTGCCCTCCATGAACGGCTGATGATCAGACTATTACGTATTATATTAAGACCCCCAAAGACTTGTAATATGTGAAAAAGATTGAATTCTGTGGAAGTTCCTCCCCTTTGTTCAAAACTTCCCTGGTGGGATAACATATTTACTAATATAAAGGTAGTTATTGAGGTGGCAAGTGTCCATTTGCTCTGAATATATTTTCCTCATCTTGTCATACACTGCTGAACAGTTTGGGCAGGTATTAAGGACATATTACTTCATAAAACAGGAAATAAGATGGCACCCATTACCATAGAAAAGCTGTGACATATCAAACGTTTTCAGTCCAAGGTATTTCAAATTATACTGATGGATCAAACATCAGATATTGACTTATCTGTATTAAAGACAAATTACAAATGAATTCTTCTAACAATATTTATATAACCAGCCAAGGATGATAAAGTGAAGCATGGGCTATAAATTTTAATTTAAATAAACTACAACTACTGCTATCATGTCTTTGCAAATATAGTAATACTACTATGAAGTATTCCTATGTTTGCTATGTTTATTAAAATGCTACCATCTAAAACAAAAAACCTATTTTTAAAAATATCTATAGTATAACTACTGCTTCTAAGAATTCTGAGCAAGTTTTCTTTAACCACAGGCTAGCAGCTGGAAAAACACCAGGAAGCATACCCCACCTCCTTCTTGCTTGCATAGAGCCACACCTTGGAGAGCTAATTTGGCAAGTGAGAGGGAGCCCTTCTGTAAGCCATTAATCCTACAGAAGAACTTTCCAACTTGGAACTGAGTCAGGAGGCAACAATCTTTTCTGGGACTTTATGATGATAGTTAGATCTTTTTCATAGCTGTATTTATTCATTTTTTAAAAAGAGCACCTACTTTAATAAAGTTAACAGTTACATGTCATCAATGTGTATAGTCAGATACAATGTGGCATTTACTATAAATAAAAACAAAGTCATAGAGACATTAAGCCACACTTAAAAACTACAACAGCTCTATTGTATAAGATCCCAAGTATGGAAAATCATGAAAAAGAATATTCTGTCATATCTCTTTGCAATCATCCCACCTGCTCATTTGGTGCAATGTCCCACCCACTCATTAACTTATGCAACGCTATTCAGAAGGATCCCCAACTTTCTGAAGACATGTTTAGAGAAGCATCTCTGAAGTTCCTTCACAGGTTTTGGAGCTCAGGACCAAGCCAATATTACAACGCTAGAAGCCAGTTTATTTCACCTTGGCTTAGCATTTATCATACATCCCCACAGAAGGGGAAGTATTTGGTATGGGCTATGCTTAAGATTTTGACCAAACTACGGGAGGCAGTGGAAGATACTGCAGCTTAAGATACTGCAGCCAGAATATGGTGTCTTTACCATGTCAATCTTCTTTGACTGGAAAGAAATGTCTGTTGAGATTTTGATATGAAAATATATTAAATATTAATGTTGTATAATTAAATGTAAAATGGCTGATTTTACCTGAATCACTGTACTGATTGAATTCAGGTGTGGGTATCAAGGATTAAGACTTAATGTTGCACAGCTGTGTACATGATGAAACTTTGTATAAAAGAAAATGAAGCAATGGATTTTCTGATTGGTCACAGAAATGTACATAAGTCATGTGTAAAATGAATGTCTATATCTGCTGTAAGTCAGATCACTTTTTCCTATGCTGTGTGTTGCTTCATGTCATGTTACGCTGCCAGAGGAATGTCTATTCTCTATGTATATATGTAAATAGACTAAGTTGTTGATTTTACTCTCTCAGTGTCATAAGTATCTCTGCTAAACAATATCTCCTTGCTCTGCTGATGTTATGAGAATACAGGTTATAATCAAAATTATCAACACATATTTCATCAGGGTGGTCAAAATGAGGTCTGGAGTATTTTCCACTGTGTGAACAAAACTAGGAAAAATACTTTTAATAAATCGGTTAGACAAGTGTTGGCAGCTGACAGCAAGTACTGAAGCCTCAAAATACAGCATGAAAGAAATATACATCAGTATTTGTAATCAGCCCATGCCAGAAGTGCAACTGATTTTTGTACTGGATGTGGTATTTAGTGGTCATAAAGAACAGCAGCCTCCCTTCTGCACTCAGCAGTTAATTTTAGGTTTACATTTATGTAACATGAATGTATTTGACAAATGAGGAAAAAATGAAGGGAATGCTGTTTAAATGACATGTCTACATTAACTATAACTTTCTCTTTAAAAGATAGGCAAATCATGAATGTACTGTCAAGTAGTGACAACTAGCTGATTTCAACAGAGCTTAAGCCTGTATAATGTAATTCAAGTCAAAACTGAATACCTTTTGCAGTCTATCTACTGCATTACCTACAGATATAGAACTCTATCTCCTTAAATAAAGCCTTCAGGAATAATTAGGAAGGTATCAAAAAGATACTAGCTGCAGATCTACTGCTTAATTAAGACTACAGATGGGCAAATTACCAGCAATTACATGCTGAAGAATCCCAGCAAGGACTCATTAACTGCCATAAATTACTGAATGTTACACCATTTGCCTTCCACATGCATAATTAAGCAACAGGATTTCAGCCATTATTACATAAGTTACAAAGAAAGTGCATTTGTTTAACTAGGTCAGATACAAACCAGTAAGCTTCCCATTGACATAGGCATAGCCAGCTGGTGCTGGGCGGGGCTTGTTTCTAGAATTTTGCAGCCATTCTTTAAACATCTTCTCAGATTTTTCTTTTTTCTCTTGTAATTCAGCTTCCCTTTGCTTTTCCTTTTCCTGTTAAAGGGTAAGAGCCGAGTATGTCAAAATGCCTACCTTGTTCCAACAACATCCTAACATATTCACTTCACCGCTAATCATAATTAACTATTTGTAAGTCCCACTAGTTTGAATTGGAGATATTTAAGCACATGTTTAATTTTTCCACTGTAATAAAAGAGATATAAATTGTATAACTCTGATTACACTGTGTAAGTGTGATTACATTTGTAATTTTAGTATTTGAAAAGCTTCAGGTAAATTTTCATTATTTACAAATAAATTTACCGTATTTCTGCTAGGACACTGGGTAGTAGGATGGAAAAATCGCAATTCCAATTACACTTTAACCATAAATGCAATTAATGATCACTATTCTTTCAGTACTGGGCCTGATTCACAACATTTCTCTTCAGGTACCCTTAAACAATATTCAAAAGATAGATTATAACAAAAAATAAAACAATGTGTAATTCAATAACAAACAATAAACAAGCAAACAAACAAATAATGATAATGTCAGCTATCTTGCCAATGTTGCTTAAGGGCACCTGTAAATAAAATATTTCCAGGCCTTTTCATCTGTTTTGGCCTTCAAATGTTTTAATCAGTAATTTGTATTGTTATACTGTATTTAGACATCATGAATATACTTTCATAAATATATCATGTATACATATATGAAAGTAAAATATATTTATACATCAACTACAAATATAGCATAACAATGCAAATTATGGATTAAAAACATCTAAAGGCCAAAACAAACAGTCTGGAAGTATTCCCTGGTACTGAAATGGTACCAGTGAAGGAGACAGGCATGCTTCCTTGAGGAGGTCACATCATGGCTGAGGAAAAGCCCCTTCATCTGATATCACCTGCTTCTTTTCACTTAGTGAAGGCCTTGGAAAACAGCCTCAGCAAAAGATCTTAGGTTCTGTGGCTTTTAAGCATTCTGTTACATTTGGCGGTAGGTGATTCTTCCAACACTCATTCCAAGATGGTAAGGGCTTTAAACTATGAATTGTACCCAGATTGCTGACATGAGGTATATGTGAAGGCCCATTAACACCTAGAAAATGCTATATAAATATTGGCATTATTACTTCTTCTGGGCAAAAGCATTTGGCTTGCATTGCAATAGCACCATCATATATGTTAAACCAAACATTTCAAATTAAAAGCACTATTTTTGGGAATGGAATCTCCTTGCATCTGCAATATTTACAGGCAGTTTTGTGACAGGTGAGCAAAAAATATAACTGATCAGAGAAATTCTGCCATTCTTTAGCAGTGTTTAAAAACAAGAGTACCATGAACAGTACATGGAAAAGGAGAGAAGCGTGTAACCCACTAAATCTATATACAGTGGTGCCTCACACAACGATTGCTTCATACAACAATGAATTCACACAGCGGTGGGTTTCTTTGAGGAATTTCCCCCATCGTTTAACGATGTTCTCTATGGGGGAATTTCACTTAACGATGTCCCTTTTTCGCTCCTGTAAAAGTGTCTTAAACTGTTAGAAACCTGTTTTAAATGCTTGCAATTGTTAGCCCACCTCCTGACCCCTATGCAAACTTAATTTGGTGTTGTTCTGAGTCGTTGTTAATTTTTGGTGATTTTTTAAGTTCTCCATTGAAAGCCTCTGAATGGTCCGTTCAAAGGCTTTCAATGGAGAAAACAAAAAATCACCAAAAATTAACGACAACTCAGAACAACACCAAATTAAGGTTGCATAGGGTTCAGGAGGTGGGCTAACGATTGCAAGCATTTAAAACAGGTTCCAAACATTGTAAGACACTTAAAAATGAGCGAAAACGGACATCGGAAAGGACTTCAAAAGCACTGAAGCCGGCATGAAATAATGATGTGGCATGAAATAATGATGATTCTCCACAGATTAATGTACATGTTCAGTATTTATTAATCACCACTTCAAGCAATTCAGATTATAAAGCCAGAAGTAAAAAACGTACACTAAGTCGGAGATGCATTTCACTCCAGGAGTAGGTGAATAGAACTAACCAAAATAAATCCAACAAAAAAAGCCAAGTCATATGCTGAAAAAACTGACAAAATTCCAGTATTAACTAGCCAAACTAAATAGGAGGAAAACCTCTTTTAGATCACAAATATACTAATAATTTACTCTCTGAACAGTAAACAAAAATTAGCTAATTTTAATTCAAATGAAAACCAGGAAAATATATACCCTCTCTTCCTTCTTTTTCTGAACGTCTTCTGATTTCTTTTTCTTTAGCCATTCTTGGTACATTTCTTTTGCTTTTTCCTTTGATTGTGCTTTCTCAAGTTCTCTGGCTGCTTTTTCTGTCATTTTTTGGCTGACTTTACGCTCCCTTTCTTTCCTTTCCTATAGATAAGATTGAATATATTCGAGAAAAAGACCATAAAATAGTAGAATAAGCTAGAACCAATCTTCTAGATGTACTTTTTTATATGCAGGAAGTATCTTTGAACATCCTTCAAGGTTATTTGGATAACCCTCAGGGATACTTGTTGAAATGTGGAGATCAGGCACAGGCTTACCACCTCAGTGAGAACTTGGCTAAGATTACCAACATCTGAACTGCTTGAGGCTATTGTTAAAAAGCATAAAATTCTTTTTTGCACTGAACCTGCAAAAATTAATCTTTGATATAAACAATGTCTACAAAATAGCAAATATTTTATTTTCCTTGCCATATATAGCTTCTCCCAAACTAAGTGCTCACACAGGATTCTAAGCTGGTAAACCACATGAATGCAGGGCCAGTATTGTAACCATAGTCCTTGTGGACTAACTTCAGTTGAAGCAATCATTTGTTTTTACATTTCTTCTCAGTTAATGATCTAATAATGCAATATGCACTTGCCAATAAGTATTAAGGTTGTACACTTATTTCATAAAAGAGACCGCCAAGATTGCTTGGCTTGCTTTACATCCAGATTAAACACAGAGCACACAAACTTAGGCCGCAACCAAAAAGGGAATGTCAAGTTCTTCCCACTGCTCAAGCTTATTTCAGAGTTGCAGGCATCAAAGTCCTGGTTCAAATTTTGCCTACTTATTTCTAATTATCAAAAAGTTTAACAGGAACAATGCCTTGCATAATTTTAAACAGGTTGGTGGCTATAACCAAGTATTCAATTATTTAATGCACTTCTGGTCCACATGAAAAGGGCTAGAAAATACATATTTGTTATCATAAACAGTGTTCTCAGTTTGCCATTCAGAACATTTCCTTTGATCTTATCTTTATAAAATCTACTTCTTAAAATATCTGATGAGTTTACATACCGCTTAATATCACTACTTAATAGTGATTAATAGTGTTATGTCATATATTAATTAATTCTAAAAATACCAATTGTCATTAGGATGAAAGGTTCAGTGACCCCACCCAAGCACATTCCTAGAGATAACACAAACAAATGCAGTGTATGTAGTAATACACACTGTCAGCTTTAGGCCAATGAGAAACTTGAAGAACAGTGGCAATCAAATTCCTAAAGTGCTTCTTATTCGTGTAAACATTCATTATTGCAAACAGCAGCAAAGCATATATGCACACCTGTTGGCGGAAGAGAGCAAGACTGGAGGGCACAATCCTGCAGTACAGCTGCAATCTCATTGTATCTGCACACACTTACTGCTGATGAGCACAGGTTGGCAACTCTGTTGCTGTTTGCTGGCACATTCCCTGGTTCTAAAAAAAGTCCTTCTGAAGCTTAAAACAGCCCAGGCAGGAAAAGGAATTATATTTAAATAATAAATCATGGGTCTCCAAAAATTAATACTCTTCTCCAGACTCTAGGGAAGTTGAGGGAGAACAGCCCATGAAGGCCCAAAGGACCTTGGGTCCAAAAATGGTCTCCAGACTCTCATAGGTTGCCCACTCTGGCTTAGAACTTGACAATGCTCAAGGCAAACATATTTTTTCCCTTCTGTGGACCAAACTGGGACCTTTTGTTCCAGTTTTATACATCTATAGCAAAGAAAGGTGAAAAGAGCTGGACACATCCCCCAAAGCTGTTTTTGAATCCCCTGCCACTCCCTTCTTTTGAAAAAATGGTAAATACAGTAGCAGCTCCTAGAATCCTTCAGGGATAGTAGTTATCCATTCTTTCAACAGGCCACAAGCCCACTCTTCTCTGTTTAACTCCCAAAATATGTTTTTCAGAACTGGAAGTGGACTTCTTGCCTCATAAGTTTTATTTTCCCATTTTGTGAATCCCTTGTGACACTCACAGGATCTTGGGGCAAAAAACAGACCCCAGAATGTGTCAAATACAGTGCTAACTTTCAAATGTCAAAAGAGGTAAATATGTGACCTTGCCTACCACGTGCACAAGAAAATTGCTATTCAACATCAGTGTCTTATTTTATTTTAAAATTCACTTTGAATTTCCGTGTTATAGTCAACAGAATCACTAAACTGGATTTTTAAACAATTAAAGGCCAAAGCAGCAATAACTTAAAAGCCTCATTTTCTCTAAAAACAATAAATACAGGGAAGCACACACCTTGTTTTAAAGTAGCACATTGCTTCAGAAGTATGATTTTATGGACTTAAAAAAATAATATCACTGATGAGACACTTGATAATTTAGTGACCTGGCAACAGTCTGGCTGCCAGCTGGAAGTGCCATAAAAAGACCAGGGGTGCATGTGGTCATTTTTGGCTCTCTGTTATACTACTAGTAGCGGAACAATGTTGATTCTCAACCAAACAGGATGATTTTGTTACATTTTCACCTCTCATTTCCCCAAAGTATCTGAACCTCTAGAAAAAGAATAAAGGCTGCACATTACACCCACTTATTTGGGAGCAAGACCAAATGAAGTCAATAGCGTTTATTTTAAACATGTATAGAAGGAGATGCTCAGGCCCTGGGATCTCAATCTAACACTTCTGGAGTTCCCCAGATGACCACAAATCCTCCAAGACACCATTGTTTGGTCATTTCCCATTTTGTATTGGCTTTTTCCCCATTCTAAAATTGTGAAATGCCTCTCCTAAGACTTAGTCCCTTTTGGGAACAGCATTAAGTTAAAAACGGGCTAATATTTTTGATCCCAACACTTTTACTCTTGCAAAAATTGAATTCTACCCTTGGACTGAAAAAGGTTCTTCCCTGCTAATGTACACAAAAGCCCTGCTAAATTTCCTGTTTATTTAATTCAATACAGTCATTGTGAGGAAATGGGACAGGTTTTTGTTATAGGAACTCTGTGTAAGAAATTCATTCTTGCTGAACTACAAAAATTCACAAAAATAACGTTTTGATAGCTTGATCATGAAGCACAATTAAATCACTGTAAAAATGTGAGCTTAAATTTGGAGATAAAGAAGTTTGTCACCCATTTTACCTCTTCATTTTTTTTCTGGACCCACTCCCTGTGTCTCTCTTCAGCAAGTTTTTTTTTCCTTTCACGCTCTTGTTTTTCCTTCATTTTCTCAATTTCTTGATTCATTGCCTAGAAAAGAAGTTCTGTAAGGTTCTGAAATTTGGATTTAAATGCTTTGTTACTGCAAATATTTGGCAATTTTTAGTTTAAAACAAAAAATATAAGTATACTAGCTACTAGGAATTTCTTCTTGTTAAACAAGTTTTTATGTGTGAAAAAGACATCAGTAGCATTAGTCAGTTTTCTCTGAAGACCATAGTGAAGTCTGTATGGATGAAGCAGAATAATGTGAGATTTGGACTTCTGGAATTCAAGTCTGTTTCCAGGAAACTAAGAACACATGGAATTCAAAACTGTATCTTAAGGGAAAAGATAGCAAGTATGTAATTTCTGTATAACATCTGTAAGCAAAGAACCAGCTTCTGAAGCCCCAATTCTTCTACAGAAGTCTGAATATTGTGCTTCCTCAGTTGTTGCTCTATGATATGTGGCTGATGTTTGAGGGGGGTCTCATAGCCCCCATTTATGTACACTAGTCTTCTGCTAAAAAAAATCAATAATGATTTATTATTATTATTTATTGATTTGATTTTTATACCACCCGTCTGGCTGCCAAGGCCACTCTGGACAGTTTACAAAACAGAATAAATCAGTAACATAACAAACAAGGATAATCAACAACGACCAAACAAAATATAAGAGGTACTAAATGAGTTACACTTAAAAAAAACCCACACAACAAAAGCATAAGTAAAATAAAGGTATGGCGGCGGGTTGGATGTTAGAGATTAAATGCACTATCTGTATAAGAGGTACTAAATCAGTTACACTTAAAAAAAAACCCCACACAATAAAAGTATAAGTAAAATAAAGGCGCGGTGGGTTGGATGTTAGAGATTAAATGCACTATTGTATCATGGTATTTTAATATCCAGGAAGGCCTGAATGAATAACCACATTTTTAATAGTTTTTTTAAAGTTCCCAATGAAGAGGTGAGGCAAATTTCGGGCAAGAGGCTGTTCCATAGTTGGGGGGTGAGCGCTGAAAAGACCCAATTATTGGTCATCTTTTTTCGGGCCTCCGTCGGAGTGAGGAATCTTAGTCGCGAAGCCTGAGAAGATCTCACAGGGTGGCCAGATCTGATCGGAAGGTGTTCTGCCAGATATTTAACAGTGGCACTTATTTTAAAAATGTTCTGCAACATTTTACAGTACTTTCTCTGAAGTATTTTTTTAAATGTCTCATTAAAAAATAAAGGTTGATCATACAATCTTCCCAAGAGATAGTTAGATCAACCTTTTATGTAAAGGGAAGAGGGACAGTGGTTGCTCTCTGCACTAAGCCTTGTTTCTGCCTCTCTCTTGAGGTCAATGGACAGTTGCATGGGGATGTCTGAATGTAGTCTATAAATGCAGAAGTCAACACATATATGCTAAAACTGGATAATGTAGAAATATTTTTGAGTTGACATGCATTTTTTTAATCTCAGGAATGCTGGATTCACCATGAGAGATCTATATGGATTGCTGTTCTGCCCACCAAGGAACTGCAGAAATAGCCATTATTCAGTCTATATTTGCTTATGTGTTTGAAAACAGTGCAAATCATAGAATAGTGAAGTTGTAAAGGACCTATAAGAACATCAAATCCAACCTCCAGCTCAATGCAGGAATACAAATCTCTAGCACAGACACATTTAAATAGAAAGTACAAAATTTTATTTATTTTTACTTATTTATTTAAAATATTTCTGTCCTACCTTTCTCCTTAAAAGGGCCCAAGGCAGCTTACATCATTAAAACAATATTTAAAAGCCAAAAAACAGTAAGCACACAAATATTTTAAAAAGAATTAAACAAGTATTATATTAAAATGGTAACTAATATCAATATTAAAACACATTTAAAACAACAGAGCACAACAATTCATTTAAAACACCTCTCAGACCACCAGTCATTAACGAAAACCCTGCCTGAAGAGAAAGGTCTTTGCCTGCCTGTGGGAGAACAGCCAATATGGTGCCAGCCTAGCTTCTGGTGGGAGGGAGTTCCAGAGTCTGGGAGCAGTGACAGAGAAGGACTTCTCCCATATCCCCACCAAATGAATCTATGAGGGTAGTGGGACTGGGAGAAAGGCCTCCCCTAATTATCTGAAAGCCCAGGCAAGCTCATAGAGGGAGATGCGGTCTTTTAGATAGCTTGGACCCAAACCTTCAGAACTCTGTAGATTAAAACCAGCACTCTGAACTCTGCCCCTGAGATGTAATTACGGCATGTGTCACCGTGTCCAGATCAGACCTCTCAAGAAACGGCTGCAGCTGGTGCACTAGTTTTAACTGTGCAAAGGCACTCATGGCCACTGCTGGGCAACCAAACTTAGAGATGAATCCAGGAACACACTCAAGCTGCATTCCTGTGTTTTCAGAGGGCGTGTAACTAAATCCAGCACAAGCTGCAACCCTATTCCTTGATCTGTTTTTTGACTGACCAGGAGCACCTCTGTCTTGTCTGGATTAAGTTTCAGTTTATACACCCTCATCCAGTTCATCACTGACACCAAACACTGATTTAGAAGTGAGACAGATTCCTTTTATTTTGATGGAAAGGAGAAATTCAGTTGGGTGTCATCAGTGTACTGGTGACAGCAAACCCCACAACTCCAGACAACCTCTCCCAGTAGTTTAATGTAGACGTTAAATAGCATAGGGGACAAAACAGAACCCTGAGGGCCACTACAGGCCAATGGCCAGGGTATCAAACAAGTGTCCCCCAGCACCACCCTCAGAGTTCTCCCCTCCAGGAAGGACAAGAACCACTGTAAAACCGTGCCTCCAAGTCCCATCTCAGAGAGATGGCCCAGAAGGATACCATGGTTGATAGTATCGAAAGCCACTGAGAGGTCCAGCGGAACCAACAGGGATACACTTCCCCTATCCAGTTCCAGGTGTAGGCCATCCACCAAGGGAACCAAAGCAGTCTCTGTCCCATAACCAGGCCTGAAGCCACACTGAAATGGGTCTAGGAATCCCTGGAGCTGAGAAACTACAACCTGCTCCAGCACCTTGTCCAAGAATGGGATATTAGAGACTAGCCAGTAATTATCCAATACAGTGGTGCCTCACAAGACGAGTGCTCCGTTTTACGACAAAATCGCATTACAACAAAGTTTTTGCGCTCGCAAAACGATGTTTCCTATGGGGGAATTTCGCTTTGCGATGATTGGTTCCCTGCTTCGGGAACCGATTCTCGCAAAACGACGATTTTCCTACAGCTGATCGGTGGTTTCAAAATGGCCGCCAGGTAAAAAAATGGCTCCCTGCTCTTTTCTGGGACGGATTTCTCACTGCACGGGCAGCGAAAATGGCCGCGCTATGGAGGATCTTCGCTGGACGGTGAGTTTCAAGCCCATAGGAACACATTAATCGGGTTTTAATGCGTTTCTATGGGCTTTTTAATTTTACGATGTTTTTACGATGTTTTCGTTCTACAGTGATTTCGCTGGAACGAACTAACATTGTAATGCGAGGCACCACTGTACTGTTAAAAAAATAAATATTTTTAAACAGTAATAGGTAAACCATGTATTTTGGTACCCAACAGTTTGTTGCCACTAACATCGTAATGCGAGGCACCAGTGTACTGTTAAAAAAATAATTATTTTTAAACAGTAATAGGTAAACCCTGTATTTTGGTACCCAACAGTTTGTTGCCAAATGTAAAGAAAAAAAATTAAGTATTTACCTCGATAGTTCTTGCTTGTAAGCGAGCACGTAACTCTTTCTCTTTGCAAAGGAACCATTCTTCCCATGGTGAGAGATTATTTTCCACAGGTAATAGATCTCTCTTTTTTGTTTCTTTTATGTACTCAGCACTGTGAAGGGACATATTACAAGTTAAATGAAACAGCTCATAGAGTACTATTTTAAGGAAAACTGTGCTGAACATAGCATTATTTTGACTTGGATATCTGGTTCCGGTGTCAGATACAGGAGATTTGGTTCCCCCTATGTGTCTAAGACAGGGGTGGGCAATTAATTTCTATAGGGGGTGCCACATGAAAAATCTGAACTCATTTACTTAAAACTACTTAAAACTTAAAACTAAAATGAAACAGTGATGTTATGATTGCTTTTATTTTAAACTTGTTAATCTTCACAAATACTAAAGAGTTTTTTTGAGGTATGTTAAAGATAACATAGCCGTCTAGAGTGGTCAATATGACCAGATAGGCGGGGTATAAATGGAATAAATAAATAAATAAATAAATAAATAAATAAATAAATAAGCAACTGATCAACTTTAGACAAAAAGCTATAAATGGTTTTGATGTTCAACTTGTTCAGTGAGAGAAATCCAGTCTGTCTCGGGCGCCGCCGGACACCTGAAATGGCCGCGTGCAGCGTTTTCGCACCCTCCCCTCGCTTACCGAGGGCGCAAAAATGGCTGCCAGACTCTGGAAACTTCACTAAACAGTGAGTTTTGTGCCGATTTGGAACACATTAAACAATGTTTAATGCGTTCCAATGACTTTTTACTTTCCGCTTAGCGAAGTTTTCACATAGCGAAGGTTAATCTGGAATGGATTAACCTCGCTATGCGAGGCACCACTGTATGTTGAAGATAACATAGCCGCCTAGAGTGGTCAATATGACCAGATAGGTGGGGTATAAATGGAATGAATGAATGAATGAATGAATGAATAAATAAATAAATAAATAAATAAATAAGCAACTGATCAACTTTAGACAAAAAGCTATAAATGGTTTTGATGTTCAAAACTTTCCGCGGGCCAGACAGGAGCGGCTCACGGGCCGTATGTGGCCCTCGGGCTGCACTTTGCCCAGGTCTGATTACCCTATTGTACCTGTAGTCCCTGCTTTTGTGTGGCTTATAGTTAATCTAGACCCTAGCTTTTCAACACCCTGGAAAAGATCATTGTAAATTTGAATTAACTTGATGGCACTAATTACTATTATCATTTTCTACAAATTCCCCTAAAGCGGTGCATATCAATTCAAAACAATAAAAAAGAAAAGTAAAATTAACAATGCATGTGGAAACATCTTGACAAAGGCAGCCTGGGATCTAAATATTTTTAATTATATTTGTCAGGTTTAGCATTATGTCAGATCAGTACCTCGGAGTCACACGTTTTGTTCATCAATCAGCTCTATACTACTTACTAAACATATTAATATATAAGAGGTGGGAGAGACAGTGGTGTATTAATGAGAGAGGGGTGAGCAACCTCTGATCCTAATGAGAACTTCAGTGATCTGAGTTATGGTGTGGACTCTTACTCTGAAAATTGCCAGGAATAACTAAACATGACATGTGAATGACAACTGCTGTAGGAAACTTTGAATTACTGTGGGACAGTCTCTCCAGTCACTGAGCAATCAGCTGAAAGCAATCAGCTGAGGATCATAAATACTAAATGGAAAACAGGTATTCATTTAAGAAGTGAAGGACCCGGCAAGTCCAGAAAATTCAAATAAGCCTAGAAAAAGATAGGAAACCAGTAAAACTGCCACACCATTGGAATAATATGATCAAAACATCCAGTCTGTTGTAATCTAGCTGCCATATACTGTAATGAAGTTGCACTAACTGTTTTCTAGACCAACTTCAAAGGGAGCACCAAAGAGAGATTAACTTCACTGAATCTAATCTTATTATAATGGTCTGACTTTTAAATGGGAAGCAACCCTTAGGAAGCAGAAATTTATTTATTTAAGATATTTTATTCCATCTTTCTCCTTAGAAAGGACCTAAGACAGCTTAAATCATTAAAAAGACGATATTTAAAAGCTTAAAACAGTAAGTATATAAATACTAAAAAGGATCAAACAAATACCATGGTAAAAAACAGTAAACAAAAGCAACACCAAGAACACATTCAAAATAGTAAGGTCCAACAATTCATAAAAAAACCCCACTCAGCCAATCACTAAGAGAAAGCTTGCCTGAAAAGTCTTCACCTGTTTGCAGGACAGCAAAGATGGGGCCAGCCTCTATAGTGGGATGGAGTTCCAGAATGTGGAAGCAGTGACAGAGAAGGCTCTCTCTCATGTCCCCACCACACACACCAGTGAAGATGGTGAAACTGAGAGAAAGGTCTCCTCTAAGGACCTTACGCTCAGCCAATCACTAAGAGAAAGCTTGCCTGAAAAGTCTTCACCTGTTTGCAGGACAGCAAAGATGGGGCCAGCCTCTATAGTGGGATGGAGTTCCAGAATGTGGAAGCAGTGACAGAGAAGGCTCTCTCTCATGTCCCCACCACACACACCAGTGAAGATGGTGAAACTGAGAGAAAGGTCTCCTCTAAGGACCTTAACACCTGGACAGGTTCATAAAGGGAGGCACACTCTCAGACCCCAGATGTTTAGGGCTTTATAGGTTAAAAGCAGCACGTTGAATTGTGCCTGTAATTCAGAAACAGCAGAAAGCAACTGGTTGGTGTAAAAATGTTACTTAGCCTTTTGTGCTCTATTAATACCTCTTTCCTAATAAATGAAAAGCAGCAGGAAGAAGAGATTTTGAAGGGAAAGAGATAATCTCTTCACCTACTATTCATCTAACAGGACTTATGTCCAGAGGTTTCTTTCAGTAAGAAGGCAAATTTGAGAAGAGTCACACACTTGTTAACAAGCCGCCAAGAGTGGACGAGTCGCCCAGATAGGTGGGATATAAATCAAATAAATAAACAAAGTAGTGAGTCATAATATATTTGCCTAATTGAATGAACCAGTTATGATGGAAGGCACAAATTTGAGGAGTCACACACTTGTTAACAAGCTGCCAAGAGTGGACGAGTCGCCCAGATAGGCGGGATATAAATCAAATAAATAAATAAAGTAGTGAGTCTTAATATATTTGCCTAATTGAATGAACCAGTTATGATGGAAGGCACTGTCAAAGAAGGATCAAAAGCCGAAAAAAATTCAGAGCCAATCCCTGTCCATGATTAAAAAGGCCAAGAAATAAAACAACACATGAAGTAATTAAACTTAAGGTTTTGTGTTTACAGGTGCATTTTTGTGTCAAAATACACACTATGTATTAATCTTCAGCACAGTCAGTATGTTTACAGCTTGGAGGCTTTGTGACATCGTAAAAAATGGGGCAATCAGATAACTATTAAAGGAGACAATGTCTGACGGCATATGTTGCTATTGCCTAAGCAGGTATGGTTCTGGTCAGTGTCTTGGTGAGACTAATTCGAAATAACATACAAGGCTCCATGATGGTAGGAGGCTCCATGATGGTGGGAAGGTTTGAAACAGGTGTTAAAAATAAGTACTGAGTGACAATACACCAATATAGTAATTTAATACATGATAGCTGATGGTCAACAAAGCAATATTTTCCAAGTACAGTATTCAAGGTGACAAAGTTACTACATGTAGTATAATTGCTAACTCTTAAGAGTATCTCTTACTATATGATAGCTGATGGTCAATAAAGCAATATTTTCCAAGTACAGTATTCAAGGTGACAAAGTTACTACATGTAGTATAATTGCTAACTCTTAAGAGTATCTCTTACAGCAGGGGGCTCCCCAGGTGCTCCATGACTCTTTTAGAAGGGGGAAGAAATCCCATGTTTGCATTTCCTCCCATCATTTGTTTTAGCAAAATAATGCAAACTGAAGAATGGTTTTTTGAAGTCCAGAAGGGAAATTTCATTCAGAAGAACTAGGGTGGCCTCTGGAGGAGGCTGGGGACAGGTTCCCAACAGAGGCTGCCTGCACATGAGGAGAACATAACTGATGCTCATCTATCAATAATGAGACAACATCTAGTCCCAATACAGTGGGGTCTCTACTTAAGAACTTAATCCGTATTGGAAGGTGGTTCTCAAGTTGAAAAGTTCTTATGTTGAATCTGCATTTCCCATAGGAATGCATTGAAAACCATTTAATCCGTATCTGCTCTTTTCCGTCCATAGAAACCACAGTGGAAAATCTACTTAAGAACTTAATCCGTTTTGGAATGGTGTTCTTAAGTTGAAACCCATCTAGTCCCAATACAAAGAATTTCAAAAAAATGTACCAGCCTGCCCCCCCCCCAGCAAAGACAAAATGTTGAATTTTGTTTTCCTTTCATATGAAAGCAATTCTGTTCTCAAGTAGAAGCAAAATTTAGCAAATGGAGCTATTCTTAAGTTGGATTGTTCTTAAGTAGAGACCCCACTGTACAAATAATTTCAAAAAACATGTACCAGCCTGCCCCCCCCCAGCAAAGACAAAATGTTGAATTTTGTTTTCCTTTCATATGAAAGCAAGGAACTACACGCCTCCTGCTGCCAATCCTAATTTTGCCAAATCTGGCAGTCCCAATCTCCACATTTTATGTTCACAATCCCAATTTTGGAATATTAAATTAATTAAAACTCCTAGAGCCAATACAATTTGATTTATGATGAACTTTGAACTTCTATGCTTCTTTACACTTCCCAAATGTTAACACCCAGTTTGATAAAAACTTCTGAAAGAACTCAAAAGCTCCTTTTCCTCCTTCTTTCTCTTTTATTCTTAGATGTATTGCCCAACTCCGGTCTTTGATTTTATACCTCAGTTGTGAATACGCTGGTACCAAGTACACATCATTTAATTTTAATCAAATATACAGGACATGAAACTTTCCTATCTAGTATATCTTCCTTTAAAATACTGAAGAAACACAACCTTTTTGAATAACGATTTGCAATTATTCTGGGGTACAGGTGCAAAATCTTATCCTGCACATATTGTGAAAAATATGTGCATCTGGTAATTCAGATTCCCATACTACAGTACAAGTGTGGACTGAGAATTAGCTAGACATGAATTTGCACTTCTCAAATCCAGCCCCACTAACACATCCCTATAAAGCACATTTTTGTTATTTGAGTCTGAGAAGGGTTTTTCATACTTGATTGTTGTGCTGTTGCTTTTTAAATGTTTTTAGAATTGATCTTATTTACCATCTTTAATATGACACTTGTTTAATTCATTTTAAATATTTGTATACTTACTGTTTTTAGCTTTTAAATATTGTCCTTTTAATTATGTAAGTTCCCTTGGGTCCTTTTAAGGAGAATGGTTCCAGGATGTGTGCAGTCCCTTCCTCCATGCCTCAATGTGGCTTTTCCTGCAACACTCTAGTGAGGCTGGAAAGGTGCAAGACCAGCCCTATTCATCAGAGGCAAGCAGGAGCATAGACTGCACATGGTCTTCAAACCAGGAAGTTCTACAGACCCTTCATACTGCTGACCAGTTGTGTCAGAAACCCTTACTAAATACACTTGTGGCAAGTCAGCCAATACACTGCAGGTGATGATACATGGTACAAAAAAACTTCCATGTTACTATCAGACACAAAGGCTGAAAGTTTTAGGTGGGTGTGTTAGTCTGGGCAAGCATATCAGACAAAATCCAAAGGGGGGGGGAGAATAAAAATTAAAAAAGACAAAAACCTAGAGCCATCTTAAAAACTATTCTATTTCAGTGTGAGCTTTCCAGGTTCAAGCCAATGAACATTTTGAATATTTTACTTGTGAAGTCTGTATTTTATTCCATATATCTGAAGTGGACTTGACCCACAAAAGCTCACGGAACCTGAAAGAGCTCATTGTATCCCTTCTCTCCTGAGAAACAGTCAGGCCCCCTCCGTTTGACCAAAGGTGGGTCTGCGAAAACGGGAGACCCGCATTACCCATGGTGTTTAATCCTCTTGGAGAAGCCTGACCCACTGCTAGCTGATGTTGCGTCTTCCTCTCGTTCCTTGCGGTGGAAACCTGGGAAACTCTGGTGGAAACGTGGTGAAGTCAAGGAGAAAACGGAAGACTTGCCGGCCCCCTCATCGTCAGAGCTAGCAGGGGAGGATGGAGTAGAATGGGCTGCCCCCCGCCTGGCCCTGGGGGGCACAGAAGTGGGCATGATGGTGACAGGGACCTACAAAGAAGGGACGAGAGAGTGAATAGCATAGCCATTTTTTCCGCCCCTTTTCAGGAGGCGCCTTGTTCCCTCCTCTCCCCCCGCGCCCCTCCCTCAGCTCACGGATACCCCAGTTCCCCACGTCTGCACCAACCGGACCAGGCCGGCTCGGCCTGCCCGCCCTCCCGCGCACCTCAACGGCCCGG